CCAGACCCGAGATAGCTTATACTTCATACATTAAGATAGACCAGACTTCTGTGAAGTATACTCATCCTTTACTAGGAAATCGGATGCCTCGTTTGTGCCAGAGATGGAGCAAGTTGGCAAACACTGAACGAGCCATTCGTATCCCAGTTGAGATTTCATCATCAACTAGAGCATCAGGGTAGATATCATTCCTCACGTAAGTAAAACGGTGACTGTATTTGACCACTTCAACCCATCTCCTTAAACTAACATTCCTGAAGTCTGAGTCACCTTACGACTGACAGCTGAGAAACGTACCGAATATACGGAGATTTCTTACTTTTCAGGGGTGTTCACAAGTACGCTTTTATTGAAAAACCAAACAAATGGTGAAGATCGGATGAATGCACTCTTCTCAGTTTTGAAACGTAACTTACAGATATAGATTGTTTTTCCCCCTTTGCACTTATACTTCACATGACAGTAAATGCTGCAATCGTCGACACACTATTAGTTATACTGAACACTGGGGACATATTTCTCTGCTTACAGCTAGTTCACAAAAGGAACTTCATGAAATGTGTTTACATCGTACGACTTAGCTAGGTTCAAACTGGGTCAGCTGAAATGCATAATTAACAATTCCTTTTGAGTAACTGTGCCAAATGAGCAGTAGAAATTCATTCATTACATATCTGACGTAAACGTTATCATTTCATTGAGGAATTCTGTCAGAGCACTTAACTTCAAAAGAATGTAGATGTCTACTCATTGGCTAGATGTATTATCTGGTTACAAAAATATCCTTTCTCTAGTTACCGCGTTAAATTCAAGTGGAAACGAACTTCGCCACAGCAATAAGCAGTAATATAAAGTTGCCCTCATTTAAGAAAATATGATCATGTTTAAACTAGATCATGAATATGAACTTCACCATTATCATGTTTCACTTTTTACGTCATAAGTAGTTATTACAAGATCTGTCTTTAAACAAAGATTTTAATAGAATTGATCTGCTTATTCCGGCTACTAATCATTCACAGAACACTGCTGCATGCGAGTTGTGAATGCTCCTTCTATTCTGGTGTATGCGTGAACACTTTTCAATCAATATTTAGCTTTGATCTGCCCTTCCCTTTACTCTGTTCACGTTAGTATTCAGCAGAAAGGCATAACCTTCGTTAATTTTAAGCATTCGTCTTGTTAAATTACTTCTCATAAACGGAATTACGCACAGCATTTATCACAAGGAAGCTGTGTTGCCGGTTGACTCACTGACTTGATTTGTCTGGATAGCCGATAAAACTGTAAGCTTAGTTGGACGTGAACGAAAGTCCTACAGAGAATCTTAGTGATCACAACGACTAGTCTGTTCATCCGTTAGCGATTTCCCTCAATTAATATGAAGTCTATCCAATATGTATCATCCCTTAAGGTTGTTTATTCACTAATTTTTTATTAAATTTTAGATCCACTACAAGACTACCCTCATAAAATCCCACCGTTACACGAAAGTCCTCCTATCCCGCTTATTCATGACCACACTTTTCAGGGGAGTATCGCTCATGTATATATATGGTAGGAGACCGAAATATAATCTACACTATCCTTTTGCCTACAGCCTTGAAGTTTCCTTATCAAGTAACTCAGCACACTTAACAAAAGACAATTTATTTTGTATTAGCTGGTTTACTGCGGCGAGCAAGCTAGGTTCAGCTCGAAACATTTGCTTCTTAGTGCTTGTCATGATAACATATTCATAACTTCAACAGAAGTAGCTATGGACCTATCATTCTTACCCGATCTTTTTAACTGAATCAGAGTGTTCCAATCATTGAATGAACAAAACTATCTTTTACAGCTATGTTTTACTGAGGGGAAAACGTACTAACACTACGCTTACACAGTCCAGACTTTTCAGCCTTGAAATATCTCGGTGTAAACGATTCAATTTTTAATTAAATTCCAAATTAATCATCCACCTTATGCAAATATTAGTCCATTTAAATCATTTATGTTGAAAATTCAGCTCTGTAAGCTAAATTCTTTTGCCAGTACGTCTAATTCATTGGTTGCTGATATGGATGAATGGTGTTTAACTTCGTTTGGCTTGGCCATCGAATTCTTAGATAAGAGTGAATGATTCCCAACTACTTTTGTAGTTCAGTAGTATATTGCGTCATATTAAGAGAGATATTCAATTTTTGGTAAGACAAAATATAAAATATACACACACAGAAATCCGCACATTTCTATACTATTAATAGTAATGTATAGCAACATAACTAAATCCATTAGGACATAAAATTACTTTTTGAGTTGTAGGTGAGAAAAATAAGAGAAAAAATCAGTCATAGTTAAGTGAGCGAAAGTATTCTTTCACTAAAATTTCCTTTTCAGACTCTGTTGTGATTTTTGTAACAAAAGTTTGTTAGAATCTATTAATTAATCAGTCAGTGATAGAATTCCACATAGGAAGGATGTACGTGAATGACAACATCCAGATTCAAATACTCATGGAATTTATTTCAAAATTTTAAATATTTCCATGTTTTATTTAACACTGGATGGATGAAATCTAATAAATTCGAAGAGGATTACAGTCAAAGTTACACTAATTCCAATGATACCAAGTAATGGTGATAAAAGTTTAAAAAGACTTATATTCATTCCGTTTATGAACTCTCTTTATTAAAAAATAAACATTCATATAAGTAGAGGGAATTTTGTAAAATGGAATAGATTTGCGTGAGAATGTTGGTGGTGATAAAGATGCAGGTTCGGATAAACAAAAATAATCTAGGTACAATTAGGTACATTTAAAGAAGCAAAAATGAATTCATCTAATGCACTTCAAGATTATAAGGGACAGGAGAGATGTACAAGTGTTGAAGCTGCACCCATTTTTGGTATATACAATCCAAACGTCTTGATTAGGGTCTGTAATCTAGGATATTCATAGCTCAGTGCCTTCTAGAACGTTACTGGGACTTAGTGAATGGTCGAGAATAACTGAATAATATCGATGTTACAGCCCATTTGCACAACATTTAGTGATACAGAACTACTCACAATCTTTTCCAAAGCTTCCCTTACATTGCAATTTACCGTTGAGAAACAGTCAACATAACAAACCCTACTGAATGAATTGGATTGGTGAGTGCAACAAAAATCGCTAGTTTGGTTAGTTCGCTCTTGGAGCTGATCGAAACTCAAATTTTGTTGAAATCATTGATTATAAATTGCGCTGGCATCTGCAATGATTTTACGTTTGCGATTATAACACGTTTTCCTTCTATTTGTGAAGCATTATGTTTCATAATAAATCTATCCAGAAAGCTGCTTTCAATTAGGTTGTCATGCAAAGTTTTCACGAGTACGCTCTAAATAAGAATCTTTACCAGACTTCAGTTACACTGAACGAAGATGAACCTACTAAAAATTCTGTACTGTGCTGTTCGTATAATTTGCCTACCACACTTGATTTCATTAGAAACAACTTCATAACTAAGTAAATAACAACCAATAAACTGTAATTGGAAAACTCATGAACTAGTGTTTTGGATCTAAGGGTATCAATCTTTTATTTTTAATACCAGCAGTTCTAATCTTTTCATTATATCCAGACACGTCTTTCATACTATACATGTTTATGCAAAGGTAACAAAAAGTCACTAAACATTTCTCTAGAGCGTGGTAAGGTGTCCCAAATAAAAAATACCCTTAATTATACCTTTGGCTTTTGTTTGAAGAAAAACAGTCGACTATTTTTGTTATAAACCTCTTAACTCAGGATTAAACATAAACAAAATTAATCCCTTTCCAAATCTTCAACTGGCAAACTAAATCCGATCACGAAATTGATTTAAACCTAGACATGTGTCACCACTGCATTAGTAATATTTTTGTAGCTAAGGTCATCTTATAAAACCCAAGTTTTAGACAACCAGCTGATCTTCTATATCGTTCGGATAGATTTAAAATTAAAGAAAAGAGTTTAGTTAAATAGTTGGTTAACTGGTACACATTTATGGTTCGCACTAAAGTGAGGTATAATGCTCAACAGTAGATTTTGAAACGATGTTAAATGTTGCATTTTTTAGCTGACTACTACACAGAAATAGGTAATGTAGTCGTAGAAGAAGCAAAGTAACTCATAACCTTGGTCTACTTTTAATCTCACTTGCCATCACTATATATATTCAAAGTCTGATAACAAAACCTAATGAAACATACTTGGTAGGATCATGATAATGCTTTCTACCATATGGGTATTTTTCTAGTCTTCTAAAATAAACAAACGAATATAATATGATGCACTAACTTCACAAAGCATACCTCAACAAAAGACCCGCGATTCAGTGAAATTGAATATCTGAGTAAGATGTTTTATGGATTTTATAAGATCCAAAAGTTGCACTGAATTCAGGTTATGCTTCTTATAACTTAATGATTTGCTACAATTCTTGACAACTATGAACAGACTCTCCTTGTGTAAACACCATCGAATAACTGAAGAAACGTTTTGCAACAATAAGGCAGTATCTGCAGAAAAATGGTTACGGTTACACAAATGGGCTGATAAAGAGATGATTAAATGACTGACAAAATCAAAGTAAAACTTCGCACATAGGTGCATCGGCTTAAATTGCCACAAAAAATGAGGACTATCAATAGACGAATACATTTTCACATCTAAAATGAAATGCTCCTGATAATCTACTTGTCATTCCTCATGGTTAAATTATTTTGCATTGCAAACACATCCTTATAGAGTCGTATTTCATACTCAAATTATCATAGGCTTTACCAAAATGTGCGCTAGAATATGAACTCCTGTTGAGAAGAATGATTTTCTGATAAATTACTCATTAACGCTGAAGATACCAGCATACTAGAAATACAATTCCCAAAATTAATTCTTAAGCCTTCATCGAACTGTGTTTCCATTTACAGAATGCATCACAAACTAACTGACATTTTCTTCTTTTTGCTTGTGCTACTGGCGTTTCCTTCGAAAGATGGACAACAATCTGGAACGGTCGGATACATCAGAAATCGATGACATTATCGAAATCCCCGAGGACAGCAAGTAAGATTCGCTATTAGTGCAACTAATTGAAAACATCTTTTTAATTACTAGCAATTGTAGGATATAATCTAAAAGTTGTAAGTTAACCTGACAATATTCTTTTTGTTACTGTACTAAGGCAGAATGATCAGCTAATAGTCAGTTGCACTATTTTTAAGAAAATACTTTAACATCATTTATGGTTTCATTTCTGAAGTAGTTAATAATTCCTGACAACGGGAGAAATGCTGTTCGCTTCATATTACTCTGAAGTTATCAGCAGCACTGACTCAGATTTTGAATAATATTCGCCGAAATTTTAAGTGATTTTGAAATTAAAAGGTTGTAAACAGCTTAAAGTTATCTCCCTTTAAGTTCATCAAAAAGTAGACTTGACAGAAAAATAAACACTTCACTGTAATCCAGTGTTGTGTATAACATGAAAAAAATTGCTCTTAAAGGTAAGTGCCAATTTACACATGCATTTCATTCCACAAAATAGTTTTCTTCACCTCTAAAACCTGTAGTTATCCATTTCAAGTGATGAACACTGGGGTGCCACATATTTTCTGAAGAAAACTTCATTTTCCACTGGGAAAGTAGGTAAAGCTGCACAAACTTTATTCATGATAAATCATTGTTACAAACTGAACCGACTGACTCGATGATTCATTTTGGCATGGGACTGGCTATATTATTTGATGAACGCTCACTTAGCCTAAAGACGAATTACAAGAACTAGAATCCTAAAACGGCAAAAGGCTACGGAGAAAGTATTTTCCTGTTTCTAAAGCATACAATAGGGCCTTTTCGTCTTCATAAAATGAACTCAAAACATTCTTATGTCGTGAGAAACTGGTTGCAACTGGTCAGTAGAAAAACAGAATTGTATAGTTCTGAAGAACTGGCTAGGGTTGCAAATAACAGCCTGCTGTTCGTACTAAGAACCATTCATGACCTATATTACTAGTAATACAAGGTCAGAAAATGATACTGATTAAACACCGTCATACTGAACAATTTTTTAAACGCTGTTTATTTAGTATTCAGTGTTTGACTCCGAAAGACTACAAACGAGGTTACTGTTTAGCGCGGTCGTAAATAAATGTGGTTTTTGCCTGTTTCTATTAGTCACGTAATACATGCATACCTATTTGAAGCATAATTGGGGAAGCACTAGTGATGGACCATGTTTGGAGTTAACCAAGTCAGGTACACGGACGCATGCCCACCGATGACATTACAATAGGTTTTAACTCCTCTTCTTAACACTGCTTCTTTATATCAGACTACTATGGTGTTCCAGTCCTAAGGACATAAATTTTACCTTTGATAAGTGCTGAAATAAAAAACAGTGTCCAAGACCAAATGAATTTTCTTGATAAATTCTTCCTTCTATAAAAGGAACACAACAAATCATGTACCAGCAAACACATTTTCAATAGTCTTCAACTACCTCAGTCCTTCACATTTAGTATTATTACTTAGTACAGATAAACTGTTAGTGCTGGGTAACAAGTATCTGCCAGAGTTGACTTTCAGTGTTCAACTTGGAATTACAACCTACGGACTTATTCTATTGTTTCAAACATGAGGCTCTTTTTACTCTTTAACCTTACTCTTTATGTAGTAAACTTTTTCCCAAGTAACAAACTTTTAATTTGGGATTGACTCAAATTTTAAAACGAAAATTTGGAGCGCACCTTCTCAACTGATTAGAAAATTCCCTTTGTGATGGTTAATTTTAAATTATTTTGCCCTAAATCATTTCTTCTACTTTGGTGCTTTTCTATTCTCATATTCTTGTACATGATCTACGAATGTTGCCTTCTTATCTGATAAACTATCGACTACCGTCCGTAGTGTTGCTTGTTAATCCATTTTACCTACACTTTATTACATTTGAAGAAGATAAAATGGCTAATTACCACCTACTTCAGTGCTTTTAAGATGTTAAACTTTAAAACTACTTAGTGTTCTTCCCTGATTTTTGTATAGAAACCAATCTAGATGCACTGGATGAAAAACGCTCACAATAAATTCGCTCTTGCAAACATCGCGTTATGGTTTTAGTAACTGACTAATCTCATTCTATGAACGCTACAGGATACTTATAAGATTTCATTGCCACAGAAAATATCTCCAATAAAGTAATTCATATTTTATATTTCAGAACTGAGTTTGACAAAAATTTGACAAAAATATGTATTCCTTTAAATCATCTATCTGCTCAATTTTAACATGAGAATACTCCGGAAGTTAAAGCATATATTTAACTTTCTCTGGTTTCATTGTGTTGACAAGTGAGACTGTTAATTTTTGGAATAACGTAAATAGATTTCAAAGTGTTTTGCTGTTAGTTGTTTTTAGTCAGTCGACAGAAATCCGTACTTGAATCATGTTTTATTTTGATACACTCTGCAATGAGGCATGTTTTAAATTTTGAATGAACTAATGTTTCAATATCTCGTTCAGAAATATGATTATGAACTAATTCACCAAGAAAATGTCTATCTATATCCATAAAACTGGACTTTTTTTCACCCGACAGTAAACAATGCAGGCCTCAAGTTCTATGTACTTTCGAAGTTTGGCGTAAAATTTTTTGATGCAACCAAAAGATGTGACACTATGTTTTTCAGTTTGATTTTATGAATCAGTTAACAGGAAACGCTGAATGCACTTTAAAGATCCCGATGAGATATCAAATCCCTCGAATGCTTCAAAAACTTCTTGTTGATGAGTCCTAAACAACACAAAGATAAAAGTGGTAAAATAAAACCTAAACTTCTACATGACTTTATTCGGCATAGTTTACAGAAACCAACACCACGCTACGATTATAGCAGAAACAACCTATAACACAGAGATCATCAAAACAAGTAGAAAAATTCTTAAGGTTTGCGTCTGCCTGATTGTTTTTCTGGTGATTTTATCCAGAATGCAAATGAAAGCTTGGCAATTAGACCATCAAGCTCAGAGAACACAATGTCAAAAATAAACATATATTTACAGTCCATTACTTAACAAACGAATTTCGCTGACAATATCTAGATTCACCATGAAACCGCTACTAAAGATGTGACCACTTAAAGTCTAATTTACAAGTATTCACAATGTATAAGTGTTATATGCGATACCGTCGTTGCTTGGACCGAATTGATCAGTCTCTAATAGCACATGGGCTCCTGTGCGGATGCCTCGATACTGCCAGCAATCTGATTATGTAATGGATGGATCATGGCTAGCAGTGGAATCCAGGATGCGCATTTGGTCCTAATTGGGACTTGTCAGCTGGATGTACCTGCTTCCCAGTGAGTGATGCTGTTCCCACCGGGACTCGGGAGTGATCGCTTCGAACGCCAGCGCGTAATCCACTACACCAACAAGCCACGATATCCACTTCTTGTGCGACGGGCATGGTTTTTAGTGTAAGGGTTTTTATATATGATACCGTCGTTGTCTGGACAGAATTGATCGGTCTCTATTAGCATATAGGCTCCTGTGCGGATGCTTCGATATTGCCAGCAATCTGATTATGTTAAGGATAGATAGTGGCTAGCTAATACAGACCGATCAATTTGGTTCAAGCAACGACGGTATCATATATAAAAACCTTTAAACTAAAAACCATGCCCATTGCACAAGAAGTGGATATCGTGGCTTGTTGGTGTAGTGGATTACGCGCTGGCGCTCGAAGCGATCGTTCCCGAGTCCCGGTGGGAACAACATCACTCACTGGGAGGCAAGTACATCCAGTTGGCGAGTCCCAATTAGGACCAAATGCGCATCCTGGATTTCACTGCTAGCCACGATCCATCCTTAACATATTTGCAATGTAATTTGGAGGTTTATGAGGATTTATTTATTGGTTTCAGGCTGGTATTCATCATGGACCAACATCAGTTTGAGAAGCAAGAGAAACCTAGGAGCACTGCTGTTTCGTCCTAGTATTAGACTCCTCAGCAGTGCATGCCCACGACTCCGTCAGGAGTCAAACCCAGGATCTTCAGGTTCTGCAACCAGCAAGCTACTACTGAGCCTCTGGGTCAGAACCCCCAAAAGCCTGCAAACTGAATTAATCAGTGACTCATTAGTGACTAACCTAGATTAGTGGTTCCCGAAGTTCCAATGAGCAGTCATGACCGGTGGGTTAAACAAAATCGAACATGACGACAGTTACTCAACGACATTGGATATAGGTTGTACCGTATCGTGAACTGACAGAAGTGGGAAATATGAATCACCGGATTCCGACCCAGTGGCTCAATTGAAATGTCCCGACCGTGGAACCTGAAGGTGCTGAGTTCGATTGCCGGCAGGGTTGTGGGTGCGCACTGCTGAAGAGTCCCACACTAGGAAGAAACAACTGTCAAGTCACTTAACCTTTTACAGTGGTTCTCCAACTGATATCAGTTCATAATGAATACCAACGTGAATTCACAGTTTAATCTATATTTAAGAACAAGATATTCAGCGAAGAGACTCTTTTCAACGAATTTATTTTCAAGCTGTACAATCGTATATATATGGTATTTGGAAAAAATTATATCCTGTGAGGAAAACTAAACACTATATGGTGATGACAATAATAATAGAGCGGGTGATGACATAGGCATTTATGATTATAATAACAATTGAAGTGCGAATGATAACAAATAGATTATGTAATATATGGAATGGTACATAGAGAGTATATAACTCAGAAGGGGGTGAAAAAATTGTTGAAAATGGTAAATCAATTAAGTATTATGTAATGGCATTAGACAAATTGGACAAGATGAAGTCAATGTTTTCTAAAAGGATTAAGACAATTAAGTGAAATAACACCGGAAACTAGTTGAAGTGAAGGCGATTATAATAACAATAATAGTGATAAAGGAAGGATACAAAGGTTAAATTAACAAAGTGGGAGGGGGAGCTAATGGGGTGGGAAAATGTTATGGCCATGATAAAGACAGTGACTGCACATACTTCTTTTGTACACACAGATCAGGTCTTAGTTCATGAATAGCTAAAGCCTCCGCTGTTTTAAGGAGTTGAAAACGAAGAGAACGTGGGAGGTTTGGGCGAATTCGATAAATAATTTCAAAGTCATCGTCTGGATTTGTTGTGTGATGGAAGTCAATCAAATGTTCTAGAATCGAACTTCTAACAGACTTTCTTTCACCTTTATAAAACCAAGCAGGAACATGTTCTCGTATACGTGTAGAAAGCATTCTCTGGCTACGGCCGATGTACCTTGCTCCACAAGAGCAGGTGAACTGGTAGATGCACATAGAGGCGGCCAAACGAGGAAGCTTGTCTTTAACGCAGGTGGAGAATAGGTTGCGGCTGGTAAAAGTCAACTGGAGTCTTGCTGCGAAGAAAGTCCTATTGATTGATCTGGTAAGACGATTCTTCAGTACATCCGATGCTAGGTCTCCTTTAAACTCTAGGCTCATAAACAATCTTTTCTTTGAGACCGAGTGGATGACTGGTTTAGTGTTTCTTTCCCGCATATTTTTATCAATAAAACGGCTAGGGTAACCGTTTTCGACAAGTATGCTTTTTAAAAAGATAGCTCTTCCTCGATACAATCGTCACTACAGATACTTCTTATTCGATAGCAAAGAGAGTGAATAAGATTTCTTTTTCTGTTGATGGGCACCCAACTATAAAAATTAGTTAGTTGTCCGTTCCACGTTGGTTTTCTGTAGATGGATCTTTTAAGGTATCCATTCTGACGTCGGGTGAGAAGCACATCAAGAAAAGGAATAGTTGATTCTGATTCCTTCTCTATAGTAAACTTGAGGGCTTGATGACATTCATTGAATGAACGAAGCACGTCGTCGAGGTCTACATTTTTGTCGCAAATAACAAACGTGTCGTCCATATATCTTCTATAAAAGTCAAAGCTATCAATAGTTTGACGAAGTTGTGAATTTTCCAGTTTCGACATGAAGAAATCTGCTAGCAGTGGTCCCAATGGTGACCCCATCGCAATTCCATCTTTCTGTCTATAGATTTCATTATTGAAACTGAATTGGACATTAAATGTGCACCTCAACAAAAGCTCTTTCAAGCAGCTCGTTGGTAGTCCTACGTCTAAATTATGTGCATCAATATAGTCACATACATAACAGACAGTTTCGGTGAGTGGCACACTCGTGAACAATGAAGTGACGTCTAATGAAAACATCATCTTGTTTAGAGCATTAAAATCCTTAATACCCTCAACAAACTGAAATGTATCACGGATAGAAAAACTCGATACTTGCCTTCTAACAGGTTCCAGAATTTCAGCTAACCATTGAGCAGTTCGGTGATAGGGAGAACCAGCCATATCGAGGATCGGACGAAGAGGTAATCCCGCTTTATGTATCTTCGGTAGTCCATATAGACGTGGGATTATAGAGCCAACCGGTCGGATACGTTCATATAAATCAGGATCAATTATTGATTTATCCCTCATGCTTTTTAAGACATTTGTGAGTTGTGTTTCAATTATATGTGTCTTATTGGGCTCACCTTCGGGTTTACTAAACTTAGTGGGATCAGAGAGGATTACGGAAAGTTTATCAGTATACTCCTGACGATTCATTAGGACAATGCCTCCTCCCTTATCAGGACGGCTTATGATAATATCCCTGTTATCTTTGATTAGTTTTAGCTGTTGTATATGGTCCTTGGTTAATAAAGAGCTAGAACTGATTTTGGAGTTGGTAAATTGGTGACAGCAATCTAGAACAGTGGACTTGAAATGCTGGAATTCTTGCGGCGATGCAGGCGTAAGACCGACAATCTGGCTGATTAAATTTTCAAATTGTACTTGGGTATGTAATCTGTTAACCTTGGATGCACTGCTGCAAAACTTTGAGCCCAGCGATAGGGCTTGCATTTGAATTGTCGAAAGATTAACGTGAGAGTGGTTAAATACATACTTTTCTGGATTATTCGGAAATTTACTTTCCATTTCAACTGGCTTCAGACCATCGGAGTGTTTAAGATTGGCCGACTGAGACTGTTTTTCTACGACTGTAATGACATACTCCTCGAACTGTTTGAGTTCACATACGATTGTACAGCTTGAAAATAAATTCGTTGAAAAGTCTCTTCGCTGAATACTTTGTTCTTGATGTTACAACGGGAATTATTAAATTAATCTACACTTGTTTCCATTCGCTTCAAAGACATAAACTTTTGATTATTGAAAGATATTGAAAATAAAATTACTTCAAAATAACCCTATTCATCATTGAAATACTGAACAACAATGTGCATTGAGAGTCATCATTGGTAAATATAATTAGTGGACCAGAAGATTTCACTATGCAAATTACTGTTATTGATAATTTTTACTAACTATAACTTCTATTCTATTACTGTAAAAATTTAGTGGATTTGAACGGTTAAAAAATTGTCAACCGCCTATAATCAGTCCAGAAGAACTAATACAATGTAAACCCCAAAAGCACAGAAGATATTCCACTTGGATGTGGAAACGTGATACAGCTTTTACGAAAGAACGTATTAGACGCCAGTTGAATCGTAGCAAGACCACAGTTGAAGAGCACGTTTGTTACCCATGGTTACGACGTTTATTCTTTCACCTATCAAATTATTTCCCAAACTTGCATACAACTCGATCATCACGAAGATACCAACCACACCCACCAACAACAGCAACAGTTGGCACTACATCAGCGTCATCATCTCTAGCTCATCGACAGAGTAATTTGAGCACTAAGAGGAAACCAAATGCTTATATCTACAAATCACAGACTACAGCATATGCAGAAAGTGAAAGTCAAAAGACTAATAGAACAGGTTCAGTTAGGCATAGTAACCCAGTTGGAACACAGTTATGTAGAAACAACATGAATTCCCCAGTAATATCTTATGCACCAGATGACAGCAGTAATGGAAATAGTAATATGAATACCAGATCAAAACGTAGACCATTACAAAGGCAAAAATCGAAAGGATTCACTGAGCTTGACCTGGAACCAGAAATAAGTATTAGAGGAAGGTACGTGGAAGTGGTTTGAAATAATTATCCCAGTTCCTATATTTAACTCCGTGCAACTGATAAGTCAGTAAAATTTGGCATATTTCTATTACTGTTTCATGTTTACACACATTGTCTATTTTATCCTGATGGTAGGAATACTAGATGTAGTCGCATTGAACACAGTCTCACATACGATAAAATGCATATTCTGGAATAAATGTACCCGTTATTGACAACTGTATTTACGTTTTACTTGACTGTTGCTAATACTGTAGTCAAGGATTGGTCACCTGGATATACTTACATTCTAGTGACCGATGCCGTTTTGATTAAAACTCGAGAACAACAGTTTTCAAACTAATTGTTAACTACGGGACCTATATCAACACTTCTCATGGGTGACTTACTGTTAAGAACTTAATCAAAGTGTCGATGAGATGCATGCTAAAGCCACGCAGCCAAGACAATCTGCTGTATTATTCGATAGAAACGTTTTACGAATTAGCAAAATATGCTACTGAATAATATGATCAAAAACCCGTATGGATCTGCTAGCCAAATAATAAATATCTAAGAAAAAGGCTGTAAACGGTGCCCTGGTTTAGAGTTCGCCAGAAGTATCCACCAGTGATCCCGTGGAAAATTGTATTTATAACCTTCAGGTCTTAGGTAGAATGAAATAGTGGATCAAACCTTTTTTGAAGTGTTTCTCTGAATAATTTCAGTCTACCACCTGCAAAACACTTACCAGGAAAATGATAGAGTAGTAATTAGTAAATACAGTTTAATAGAAAAGACTTTTAGCTAAAAGTCCTTATTTTCAGTAATGTCACTCTCAAGCTGTAGAAGCGCATAAAACTAACACATTAACATAGAAACAAGAAAGCTGGTGTTTCATAAAATATTTATGAAGAAAATTCAGCTTTGATTGTAAATCAGGAGATCGGAGAAAGTATTACGTAATTCCTTAAAGTAGTAATCAGAAGACTTATAAAAACCGAGGCAGTATTAGGTTGTCAAGCTGAATGAAATAATATGATTAAGAGGATTGATAAATGTGATGTGAAACCAGAACTTTAAGGGTGAAATAGTGTGAGATATAGTATGCTAGTGAGAAGGCGAAAGAAAAGATTTTGCAGGTCAAGGCAGCGAAGATACTTGGTTTGAATGCAGAGTTAAGGCTTTCAAATATCATTAACCATGGCTCCCGCAGTTTGAAGAAGTTTCAGGCGTACATCTCACAATAAGTTTGCATGATCTGCATAGATGATACTGAAGTTGTTTATTGCGCTTACTGAGTGGTTATAATCGATCAAATTTTATAAGATAGAGCTGTGAGGTATTCCTTTTTCTCTTTTTAGAAATCAAGCCAGTATGTGTTCGAAGATACTTTTAAGAGCGAGCTCTGAGTAATGCTAATATACTTTAGTTCATAAGAGCAGTTGAACAGATAAACACATACATTTAGGTGTCACACAAAGAAACAGTATTATCTACTGGTTAACATTAAGGACATAATTTATTTTTCATGTTCATACCATACACATAAAGGTAGCTTATGAATAACTGAGGCACTGGGTAGGCATAGAAAGTCTTACGAATAAAATTCCCCATTTTCTCTTAATAGTAAGCAGGGGTCATTAGAATCAACAAAACTGATAGCAGAGATGAATACATACCAATGATCCTGAATGATTTTAGCATTATATCCTCAACTAACTGAATTCTAGCCGAGTGGCTTAATAACAACAGGATTTCCACGAAAACTGAGTATACTGGACTGACTTAAGTGTACTGTTGTGGAAAAGCATGACTGAGAATCGCCGAAAAAATAGGAAACAGCTGCCGACTATTTTGAAATTTTCAGCGGTTTCTTAATTGATGTCAATTTGCGATTTTTAAAAATCTACTCTGAAAATTTTTATTTTAAAAAACAAGGCTTGTTATTTTCTTTTTTTTAAACTGTTACCTTTCCTTTTCTTATCTACAGACTAACCTCCAGTTCTTCATCTGAAAACAACCAAAAGAATAAAAATAATGCTACCAATTCATGTGTACGACAGACCAGACATGTAAATTCCCCAATAGAATCAACTGTATTAACAGGTAGATACCATCAAATAAGACAGGATTCAATGTATCAGCATCATTCAACGAAAGCAAATGATGATAGTCCATATCGTAATAAATTTTTAGAAACACATGATTTCCCACCATCACCAACATTCGGTAGTAGTACAAATTCACAGATGATCACTCCAGTCATATACAACTCATCAGCATCATCGTCGGCAGCAGTAACGGATTGAAAAGACACTTTCATTTAGAACCAATGAAGGATGAACAGTTTGTGTTCAGATCATCGGGTATTAAACTATCCGATAATTTAATCCGACCAAGAAATCGACGAGCGTATATGACACGTTCAGCAAATTTAGTTTATGATACACTGGACGACTTCTCGGATAACTATCCATTGAATGATAGGTATAACACCATTGCACCTGTTTCGTCACGAATTCACAGTGATAATAACACTAACAATAATAATAACATTAATACGACAAGTAAGCCTGTCAACCATCGCGATATATCGGGTAAGTATAATTGTGACACGGCGATAAATATTAAAGTTAACGACAAAGGTGTGCTGGTAGACTGTAAAAGCATTTCCCTCCTTCCAAAACATATTATGCTTAATTGCTTTGCATGTGAATTGAACAAACGCTTGATTGAAAAAAAACAATGTACCCCAATTAAAGGCAGCTAACAGGTCGCTGCGGTACTAGCCCACTGATTACTAACCATCTGTAGGAGTAGATAAGATACATTAGAATATAAGTCTCATCAGTAACACTATTTATTTAATAAGGACAAGTCTTTGCGTTTTAGATACTACTACTAGTTTGAAAAGGTTTCTGCAGAATAGTTTCCGAATGAGATAGAAAAGATGGCAAAGAGAAATAAGAAACGCTGATTGGTAAGTTACATGAATGTCAACTTCGACCTCAATATTACACGATAGAGTTAAACATTCTTATTCCAAAAGGTATTAGTACATCAAGAAGAATTCATCATGCTTCTTTAACTACTGAAAATGCAAATAAAACTGGTATTAAACAAGGGTTGCATATGGAATTTGTCTTTACGCAATCAACCGGTGAATTCGAATCACAAAGTAAAAGAGGTAAACGAGTCCCTTTGTAAAGAGTTGTAGGAGTAGGGTTAGCACAATGGAGAAATAGTGAAGACATTAGATTGTTCACTGGATAGTATTTGAATAAGAGACTATTTATTCCTCAAGGTTTCATCCTTCACAGAAAACAAAGCTAAAACACAACAAAGTACGTAAATAACCAAGAGATTTAAAAGTATACTCTTACAAGAGACTTTGTCAGAGAAGTTTAAAAGTTGAAATTTGTCCCATTAAACTGTTTTAATCTTGGTGACGTAGGTTTTCCAAAGCTGAGTTCTAGACTCCAGTCTCAGTATTATACTGAGTGCTATTCATAACATGGCTTTACAATACGCGACAGTCAAATGGAAAAGGACTAAACTTTAACGTGACAATAGGTCATCTAAAACCAGATGTTATTCCTAGCATAGCACAAGCGTTAAGCTCGGTGGATGCAGCAACAGCTGAATAGGTTACAGCACAGTGTGCATTAACACTGAAAAGACAAAAGAAAAGACAGCGGAATTCAACAAAACTTGAAAATTCAGCTCTGAATAGTCTACGGAATGACAATAATATAGTAATTGTTAAGTCTGATAAGGACAATTCAACAGTAGTTATGGACAAATCGAATTACTTGAACAAAATTAAAGAGCATATCCAAACAGGACCATATGAAGAAATCAAGAAGCCCTTAGACACGGTCATGAATAATATCGGGAAATCTACAGCCGATCTGACACGCCAACTAAAACCATCTCTAGGTGAGTCTGAACGGTTTAATTTAATGCCTAAAACAAATAATCCTAGCAGAATTTATGGCACTATTAAGGTTCATAAACCAGGTTATCCCATTAGACCCATAGTTGACTTCAGAAATACCCTAACATATGAACTAGCGAAGTACTTAGCTTCGATATTATACCCTATTAGGAACCGTTCAAATTCCAGACTAGTAAACTCTTACGAGTTAAAACTTACGCTTAATGAGCTACACATAGAAGAGGATGAAAAAATGGTTAGTTTCGATGTAACTGGTCTGTATACTAAAATATAAATCAATATGGCACTAGAGGCAGTCAGAAGTCAACTAAATATTGATTCAGAACTTACTCGCAGAACTAAGATATCAATTGATGAGATTATATTAGGCATACAGTTGTGCCTGACCTCCACAGTCTTCGAGTTTCAGAACAAAATATACCGACAAACAGAAGGAGTAGCAATGGGATCGCCAATATCCCCAATCGTAGCAGGTATATTTATCGATAGTTGGGAAAACATGGCTTTACAAACACTTGGTCCTACACCAAAAATATGGTGGCGATATGTGGATGACACATTTACTGTGTTGAAATCGGAACATATCGACAATATCCTCATACATATAAACTCATTAGTAAACGCAATCCAATGCACTTACGAGGTAGAAAATGAACAAGAAGAAATACCTATGTTGGGTTGTAGAATAAAACGAAGAACAGACGGTGGCTTGGACACTACTGTCTACACAAAACCAACATATTCTAACAGGTATCTAGACTTCAAATCATCCCATCCAATGTCAGTTAAGGCAGGATTAGTAAAATGTCTAAATGATAGAGCTAGAAAACTGACTAGTCACAGCAAGGACATAAACAAGGAATTGAAACACGTAAAAGAAGCGCTAATAGTTAGTAATCATCCTCCGCAGTTTATTAAGAAATTCTTACGGACGCACAAAAAACAAAAAAGAAATAACAGTCACAAGAGTGCGACTAATAACGACAGACGAGTCAAAAGGAGTTCATAGCCTCCATTGTATTACCCTATAAGGAGGGTACTTCAGAAACTTTACGTAGAATCCTCAACATAGCTGGAATTACCGCGGCATTTAAACCTACAAACTCACTCAGAGATAAACTTTGTCGGCTTAAGGATTCGACAGAACCAATTAATACGTTCATTATTCCCAATGTGATATCAAAAACAAGATATTCCGCGAAGAGGACTTTTTTAAACGAATCTATTCTCAAGCTGTACATTCGTATATATATGATATTTAAAGACTGTAATTCATGAGGAAGATTTAACTAAAATAGCGGGGGTTGAAACAATAATAATGATGGTGGTGATAATTATAGTGTTGATAGTTGATGACGTGAAGGTCAAATGGTAACAAAAAACGGGTTACGTAGGACTTTCAAATCGTTTATAAAGTGCATTAGACTAAAAGTGGGTGAGAACATTAATGCACAATCAAAGGGTTAGGTAATAAAAATGAGACAAGTTAGTTGGAGTAAAATGAAAATGTTTTGTTAAGAGTTGCGATAATTAGGAAGATCAAATGAAATAATACCGGAAACAAATGAATACAAAAAATAGAGTGATAATGACGATATAAGAGTACAAAGATTAATCTGAACCAATTTAGCAAAATAATATAGTCTATCAAATTCCATGTAATCACTGCGAGGTCAAGCATATAGATCAGACTACCCGGTCAGGGTCAGTTAAAATGGCCGAACATAGGAGTTTAGCTAAATATAAAATAACAGACCTGAATAAGATCAATAATCTAGAGAAAACTAGGTTATTGCTATGCATGCATTAACACACAACCACACAACACGGTGGGATAAAGCCACTGTACTTAACTCCAATATAATTAGGTGGAGAGAGAGATTGATTACTGAATCTCTGTTCATCAAATCAACACTCAACACATGTAATAGAAATGATGCAACGCCTATACCAGAGATATGGAAAATTTTGCTACCAATGAAAACAACTCATACAAAGTGATGTAACTATAAAAATCAAAAGTCGAAAGTAGTGTGATTACATTGATATGATTATGAGCAATAATTTATGCTCGAAACGTCATGAATTAAATAATACTAGATCACTGTGTGTTATAAATCAAATAAACAAGTCTGATATAGAATTAATTTCTACAACAGGGCCTAAGTTTTACACCTGTACAAATGAAAAATTAACAAAATTCATCTGTGAACCAGTCAGGTGTAAGAGAATCAGGAAAGTTTTAAATCTGCAGTACTTTTCAAAAGAAATAAAAGCTCCTCTGACCGACACAGAGGACAACAGGTTAGCTAGAGAAGGTAATACATGAAATCTAAGTGATTCAAGACTTAACTTTATAAAAACAAACGACCGCAACCTCTTCAAACCGACAGAGAAAGCGAAATACCGAGTAACACTGAAAACATTTTTCACTGCAACAGAACTATTATCAGTGCTGAAACAGGAGTAGCTAAACCTGACCTACATAGAAATGATAATGGTCGACCCAATGACAACACTTCAATGGCATAGGTCCAGAGAAGGCATTCAAAAGAAAATACAATCAACAAAGTTCAAAGAAGTCAAGTTCACAACAACTGACTAATCAATTAGAATGGAACGAATCACACATTTGCAAGTAGTTCAAACCAAAAGAAATCTTTCGAAGAAATATACCAACCGATTCTTTGTGAACCAACGCTAAAAAGGACCCCTTGATTGTTGCTGAGAGCTCTTGTAAGGAGCATCCAAGATCTCATAACAAGAAAACTACCAGTGTAAACTGAACTGAAAGTATTCTTCACTGCAAATATTGCTTCATAGAAACCGTAAGTAGAATAAAGGTGATCATTCATACTAATTCACAGAATAGATATTGGCACAAATGAAGTAGCCCAGTTTTACATTCACCTTTTCATTCCAATTTCAGGCCGATATATCTACTTCCTATTAACCTCTGTTTTGACACATTGTATTCCACTAGACTTTCATAGTATATTACTGAGTAAACATATGAAGTGAGTGCTTTATCAGCAATATTTTTAAGACATCATTGACATCGACTACACAAATTTAGTGAACTCTCTTGAAGTTGAATTTAGGCTTTCAAAAAATGAATTAATCTGTCCAATGAAGACATGCATATAGATCAAATAAGACTTCATATAAGCTAAACATGCATTAAGAAAACAAACATAACTAGAAGGTCATATCAAAGTAGTTTTTAAATTCGTGAAGGTATACGAAAGTAATGCAAAGATATTTTACCTAATAAGATGACCTTTAAGGAAAATAAGAAATTGGATGGTGTACTGGATTAGCAATACGGCATACAATCGATTTTTACAAAAAGTCATGCCTACTTCGTTTGCAAATCAGTATTTATCGAATCCAGTACTGTCTACCATTATTTATTCATCGAGTTACAGCATATTCGTACCAGTTTTTATCGGGCCATTAGCAAGTAACCACTAATTAACGAGTACCTTCTTTAAGGAGGCCAAAACCACTGGCTTGAAGTTCAATATCATAACAATTTGTTTGTTAGATATTTCATACAGTGAAATATCACTCAAACAGCAATACTATTTGACTGAGTGATACATCCAACAAACAAAATAAGGTGGAATCATACACAACAGCAGTGTTCAAGTTCTACTCTGATACTAGACTTCAGTGTTTTTAAAATGTAAGACAATTGAAAGACACATGAAAATACAAAATGGGATTTTGATGGTTTTGTTTTGCAAAGTTTTATGAAGATGAATTCAAAGTTTCAGAAATAACATCACCTTTAAAATAAAATTTCTAAAATCTGATAAGTGATTTATCTTATCCTTTCAGAAAATCAGTACTGTATTCAATTTAAACGAGTCAAAGCACGCAGAACAAGTTCAAGTTCGCAAGCTGAATGTAGTAAAACAGCAAAAAGTAAAGCATACACTAAAGATCGTCCAAATCAGGATTACCTCCAGTCAAAAGTCCACTCTCCAAATCGAATAAATGAAGATTATCCTGATAGTGTAGCAATACACTCAGGTATATGTCCGATAAATGATCTACCACAAGATCAAGAACCTATGAAAAAACATGTAGAAACATGGTTAAAAGAAGCTGTAACAAGAACAATACAAGGAAAAGCCCAGTGAGTTCAATATTTTTTCAAATTATTTTCCATGATGAACTGACTTTAGCATTTAACGACTTGTAGCACGAAACAGCTGGTTGATCTCCTAGCACTGTACATCTAGCACCCATGGAAGGATTGATTCTGTGACTATTGCATCGTACGGTGGGCACATTATCATTAAGTCACCGAATAGAAACCCAGTGGTTTACTTTTTCTAACTTCTGTCAATTTGCAGCACAGTATTATAAAAAAACTGCTTTGAAATCGATCAATCCCTACAACACACCGACGTCTTAGTGACCTCGTGGATAACGACTTGAAGTTTGAACAGATAGGTATAAGGTTCGAGTTTCGGTGGGAGCATCATCACTCACTGGAGTGCAAGTACATCTACCTGACGAGTCCAAAACAAAACGAGACATGCCTGCAAGCCACAACAAAGTCGGTTACGACAATAAATATTCAGGAGATACCGAAGCATTCATATAGGACCCCATATGACAACAGAGATCGATCAGTTCGATCCAGTATAACAACAGAGAATTACAAGTATCACCAAATAACAATACCTTTTGGTTGACTGAATACAGAGAAGCCGCCATCGGCATATTCAGAGGGGTTTCTGAAATCGTCACTAAATGACGTAATACTCGTCTAAATTTAGTGCAGCGTTGCAGGTTTTATTGACAAACTAAAAATGTAAATAGCATTAAGATAATTTTGAGAATACTTCAGTTAAGCAACAGTATTTTCATTAACCGCACTTCGACTCCCTTGATAGCATCCTGTTGGTGCAGAAACATTTGTCAAACTGAAGTACTGTTACTTGAGAAACAGAATGATAAGAATAAACATACTTACTCAATAAAGTTTTGATATTTTCAACTCAAACTATGATTCTGTGAATCACAAAAAATGTCCTTTGTGCAAATGAAGGCAATTTAGTGGCTTCTTAAGTCTCTGATTAAAACTCTCTTCTTTAGAAAGAACAGAAATCAGTGGATAATACCCACATAAATGTGATGTAGTTGACAAGAGTTTTTAATTGATGCAAACTTGTCTAAATAATCTAGATGTCTAAAAACATTCAGCGGCAAATCCTGAATCCAAGATTCATGCTTGCATGAAAACAACCTATACACATTCTGTGATGAGATCATGACATCTTCGAAACTCAGATTGCTGTAAAAGATATTGAAATCACTTTAATCACTTCATATCTTCTGCTTTTAACAGCCATGTCTCACAGCCACATAGCCATATAGAAAGAAACGCAGCACAGTTAACTCGTTCGGATATCTCGCCGACGCCATAGACGACACAAGTTGGCAAGTGCTAAACGGACCTTCTGTATCCGAGCTGAGAACCTGTCAGAGACCACACTGTTTGGGTCGATCCAACTTCTCAAGTGAATGAAATAGTCAACACATGCCACCATTTCATTCCTTACCATTAAGCTGGCGGTCGCTGCAGACCAGTCCTGGAGCATCATATTACTTCTGACAGATGAGAAATGCATGCCAAACATAATCAGATTTCTGCTTAACACCTTCAGAAGACCCTACATTCTGTCAGCATCTGTACCTAGCAGGATAACACACCGTCTGCGTACTCCAAGTCAACCAGACGGCCTCCACGGAGTAGGTCAGCCCCTGTGAAGTTAGACAGAATGTCCATTAGTACGCCTATGACAAAGTTAAATAGGAACGCTGATAAAGAGGCATACCTTGATCACATGACTAGTTGTTGTCAATTCTGGTGACAACTCTGCATAAGCCCTAATACGATTGCGTGACTCCGAGTAGAGAGACCTTACGTCAACAAATATAGCAAACGCCGGGAACTGGCCGGTAAGCACGTATTTTCCAGAACCAGTTTGAGGGTAAAAATCTGTTCGATATACCCTACTTCAAGCCTGAAATTTGCCTGGTTCCCTCGATTTTGCTGTTCTCCAGTTCCACTCAGACATCAGGTATCTATGACTCCTTGGATACTGGACACAATATTGGCCAAACTAATCTCCCCCCGTATGGCTGTCACAAAAAGATTTCTACCTCTTCTTACAGACTGAAATAATCAGTAAAGTTGACAAATTTGACGACGCCATATCTGAATTTCGCACACTCCCCAGTACCTCCGTCGCGTCATTTAGGAATCTCCTACCTCCATCCTTGAAAACGTCAGGTATCAAACTGTCAGGTCCTGGTGCTTTGCATCATTTCAGGTTCGGTACAGCTTTCTCAACTGCGAGGGGAGTTGGAGGACCGACATCTACGTCCTATTCGGGTTCAGGCCGTAGTTTTTCAGTTACTGAAGTATTGCTTACGACCAGTTGAACGGTGCTTCAAAGCGTTCCGTCTGACGTTCTAGTCGCCTATCTCCAGAGGTTATCAGTGTTCCATCCTCTTCCGTGATAGTTTCGCCACCATCGTATTATTCTTGCCGGCATCCTCAATAGGCCCAGATAGTTGCCGAGTGTTGACCAACTCTGATACCTTCCCATTCTATCCTCGTTTTGTCACCCACAGTCGCTCCTGATTAACGCGAAGACCCTTGATCAACTGACGTTCAAGTTGCTTTCGCTCTTCGATGTGTTCAGGGCCAGCTGAAATCAGTCTTCTCGCATCAATCAGTTGGCGCGATGTTGGGGAAATCTAATCAGCTGTGGGTTACCATTTGTCGTTGCTGCTGTTTCTACAGCAGACTTAATACCACGCCAGGTTTTCTACGGATGAGCATTGCTACCACGATCAGATAAATGCTTAGCCAACTCGTCTCTGAATGCGCACTTGGCGTTTTCATCTAATAAATAAATTTTTTATTTTCACAGTAGTAATTTAGCATGAGAGAAGCCAGTTTACAGGCATCATCACATTGATATATGTCGAAAAGTCTACAAGATTTCACGGGTCCTGAGTAGTACAGAGGAAAGGTCGTTTGACTCCATCAAAACATCAGATCGCGGTTACGGGACACAGAAAATACCACTTTCAGTATATGCAGTGCGTCAAAGTGAAGATAATAAAAATTCCCATTCCCATATAATGGATTTAACATGACAGATACCAGTTCACAAGCACCGTCAAAATGACGATTTTGAAAGTTTACAGAATAGTACCGGGAATTACATAACTCACATAGCAAGTTATTGATATGCATAAACTTATTAAAACTTGCTGCAAATCAAGAGGCGGGCATGGATTCCCATCTGTCATTACACAGATAGGTTCCACTATCAATAACAAAAGTGCGCAATATTCCAAGTTTGCGTTATGAACAGATGACGTTATTAGTCCATTTGCATAGTTTCTTATTTAGTAATATAAACATCCATTCACTAGAAAGTTCTTTAGTTTTTAGCTTTGCTGAATGCGTACTTGGCATTTTCATCTACCAGTCGAGCAGAGATGGGCCGCACTGCCTCCTGTTTCCTGAGGCTTGTAAGTCACAAACACACATGAGCCCGTACTAATACGCGATCGGAGTCTAAACCAGTATCCTAGATAAAGCGATAATTCTTCACCGATGACTTATAGGAATGTGATATATGTATCCGTCGGTGTTAGAAGCCGACTGATACCATGTAAGACAATGTCTTTCCTTTTGCTAAAGTGCTGACCATCAAACAAGAGGTTATCGGAGCGAAATCGCGACAAACGACCACCGTTGTCAGTACTTCGGCAAAGGGTTCTGCAGATACCTTTCATATGCCTTTCTGATTGAAACAGCTCAGATTCCCCACTTTGAGGTTAAAGTCACCCGCTATTATGACTACATCCGAGTGTTTTGCCTTCTGTAATCAAACTGACAGCTCTTTTGAGGACCCATCCTTTGCATCATCCAAGCTACAGTCGGTGGGTATGTAGGCGGAGATTACGAATAGGTGACTCCTCATCTAATGATCCTTCATAGTTTTTACAGATCTTTTAAGTCAGACAGCATAAAGATGGATACTTTCTGAAATCTAGCCGAGTAGCGCACTTTCTGCTCTACAACTCAATGTTATGCCTACACAAGCGAGTTCACAAAAGCTAGCCATTGGGACTCCAGATACTAGTAAGGTGAATTTCGACGATTGACTACTATGGTCAGGTGAGGTCAATTTAATAACCACACTCAGGTCTTGTATACTTGTCCCAGAGATACAGAATACTAGAGATTCCAGAGTTTTGGCGAGTGATACCTGATGTCCGATTTGACATAGAGTTCGGACATTGAAAACTCCTACACGAAGTCGATGGCAGAGTCTTAGGGGACTTTTAATGAGGTTTCAATGGCTTTGGTAGTTGGCAATGGTCTCACAGTGAGAAGTTGGATAAGGTGTAATAGGTTTAATATTGGTATCGGGAGGTGAAGGCAAAGGAGGAGATAGGGTTGAGGAGGATAGGTTATGTTTCATTAGGTCTTGAATACTACTGGAGGCGTACAGACGGTTGATACTTCCCTGCTGCTCACACCGTGGATACCCATGAGGAACACTTAGCATCTGAGGAAGGATAATAATACCAATCCAGCGAGGAAGAGTTGAATAGTTATATGCCTTTATTCAAACAAGCAAATCAACTCAGTTTTGTTTATTCAGCTGAAGAGACCAAATTGTTTTTCTTTAAAACTTATGTCAAGTGAATTTTTGAAAGACTAAGTAGTAAGCATACGCCATACGGCTTGACACCGCTTACTTAATCCAATGGACTATATATTATGGTTGGAATATTTTGAGTATTATAGGGAACTATGGTGAGAGTTCATATTTGGGTCTCAAATAATTGTACGCCCTCTTATTCAGCTCTGTAACGTATGGTTTGATCAATTGGCAGTGGATTCAAACCCTGTCTCTTTCAATTCACAATGAACTCACAAGTTAAAAGATATTAGAAGTAAGTAGAAATGAAATCAGTTACTAATAAAGTCAAATGGGTATTATCACTAATTCGATTCTATGAAACTACTGCCTGTTGTAAGATGTTATATCGTAATTCTTAAGACATTAAAATTAATAAAATAGCCATGCAATACATGTTCCCACACTTCGCTATGGAATATCTACTGTATTCAAAATAAGCGTCACTCTATGTACTGTAATAAGGCCAATATACTGGGATTATAACCCAAGATCTGATGGTTAGGAGTAAAAACCAATAGATACCCCGGCAAAGAAGTGAAAATATTCACCTTCTATAAGCTTATGCGAATCTGTAAACTAGGCTTGACGTTATACCTGTGTAACAGCCGATAATACTACCTAAATTAATGGGTCAGAAGCAGAATGGAGCAGGATTTTCTTTAATGATTACAAACTGATTTACGGTAATGACAATGGAAACAGCTTCAGAAAACTAACTCATCAGACCTATGAACGTCAACAAATATTGGCTGGTCATTCGTGTGCCACTTCGGCGACAGAAATAAGGAATTTGCAATGAGAAACGATGAAATACAAGGTCAAACAGTTTGAAAGTGATGACAGATAGCGTCTAGTTGCATCAAATGATCATGGTAAATCAAAAATCGAAAGAAATTTTTTCTTTTGATAACAACGTGATCCAGTAGGATAAAGGAGTGATGTAAAGTTCTCAGGGTTGGACTGAATCCTTGAGAAGTCATATGAAGATGATAAAACACTTATAAAGCATTACTTTTTAACCAATATAATAAACGGAACATGTACATTCAGTTGTCAGTTTAAATTTTAATTTTTCTTTAAAATGTAGACTACGACGAAGTCATATGTCCCATGTAAGCAGTGGTGAAGCTCAAAGGGAACCGCCAGAAACTGTCACACCCCAACCACATAGCTTTGATGGACCCGTTTCAAGATATCATCATGACGATTGCTTATTCACTACAGGATACAGTCAAAATAAACCAATTAGTATAAGCTTAAACACATCAACAGACAGTCCACATATTAAACCTCCATCAATAACTCGAGATGGCATAGATGGATATGTTCCATATTACTATGAATCTGTATTTGACAAATATGCCGATTTAAACAATAATGGAGACGAAATTTAAATTTGTCTCCACATGATCATACAAAAGTACATCGTAGACATAGTGATAATCCAATGTCTGAAATAATAGGTGATAAAACTTTAAAATCAACACACAAACCCACTTTTACTCATTACAACAATTATACTACTCATAATGGTAATAGTAGCCAGAGAGGCATAGATTATGCAGCTGCCAACGAATTGCCAACTATCAACAACGATCGTTTGCTGATAACAAACATATCACGTGAACGCGCCAGCTCGTTTCAAGAATCAAATAAGGTAAACAGAGAATATGTGTATCAAAAAAATGAGCAAGATGTGTGTAATAGTAAAACACTTTTATACAATCCGAATAATACTAGTAATAACATATCACATGGTCGTCATGTTAACGTCATGTATAAAAGTACTGAAAGATCAGTAAATCCCACCCACTTAAAACAAAGCCATAGTTTCAGTGAGCGGCAAAAATATCCAAACTGCCAACTGTCACATCTTTACCAGAGAAATATCGTTTAACGCATACTTTATCAGAAGAAAACCGAACAAATATAATGCCTTTAACACTGAACAAAATGAATCCACCACAGTCATTACGTCAAATAATAAGTTTGAAAAAATGTTTACAAATGCCAACTGAATCCAGTTACAATCAACACACTAATTATGAGCTACAAAATAAAAGGGGATCAAAATACTCTAACATGTTAGAACCTAATTCTTCCATTGACTGTGCTATATTCCATCAACCTCATCCAAGTATGCATAGTGAAAGACGTTATTCACGACATTTGAAACCACTAGATGCATGGCAGAGTAGACAGTCACATAGTATGGAAATAGTCAACACGACTGCCGCTAATCAACGTTCATTGTCTAGTCCACAAAAACGAGGTCCACTATCCAAGCAAACAGCTATACGTAAATTACCACCTATTTATAGTCGATCACTTCAACACTCCACATGTTCATTTCCCGTTCATTGGGGTGGTTTTCTCAGTGGACCAACACTATCATTGACATCAGCATTTGATTCATCGAGTTTAACACCAGATTCATTATTAAATCATAAACATTTCTTCCGTAGTTTCCCTAGATTCACATGAACCGATACAACCAATATTACTACTACAACAACAACTGCAACAAAGATCACAACAATCTTACCGAGGCAAATTTTCGGCTTCAAAAGAACACGCCTATTCAGCTTCAGAATCACCTCAGAATTTAATCCCACTAGAGGAATCGTTAACCAACAGCCGACATATTAAAAGTTTACACCAATCACGGATAAATTTATCACCTTCATCATATAGTCATCATAATGGCAGTAATTTAACACAACCAATTACACGTAAAGTTCACAGTTTTGAGCTGAATTCCAATCCACGCTATCAGCAATTATTACCCGAACTTGTTAGAAATAACTCAGTTCTGTTAAAAGTCAATGACATCCATCAATTAGGCCATTCAACCCATTCATCAAGACGTGGTTCATCAAACAGCAATAATTCTGTATTTTTATCCAAAGAATGGAAATATTCTAAATCCAAGTTAAGTAGTGAATTCTCACCTGTTCAAAACCCAATATCGCCGTATAGTAATGACAACAATAATAATAATGACAAAATTGTACAGCAATTAATACCACAGAACTGTACAGCAAAACCATTGGAGAAACTTATCCCACCAGATCTTATCTTCAGTCCGGCATCACGACGTGCTTCAATGATGGATGAAGATATATCCGGTGTCCAAAATTCAATGCTGAATGTTACAGGTGATTTAAAAGAATTCTATTTGAATAACTTAGAATATAATGATAACAATAATACTAATAGTACTACCAATGCTACTGAGACAAATATACTAATTGAACCACTTCACCACCAGAACTATTCAGAAATTAATTTTCCAAAAAACAGGAACAACACAAATTCATTTGCTAAAGACAACACTGAAGTAAATAAACTGATGCCAACTCACTCATATGAATCAGATGGACAGAAATATTCATCGCCTAACCATTACTGTTTAAGGTATGGCAGACACAAATCAGCAGACACCTTTGTTTCAAAGAATGGAATAAATACCATGAGAGAATTTTATTCGCACAGAAACAGTGCTAGTGTTCATCAAAACACACCACATTTATCAAGAACTTATCTTAAATCAGATCAACAGAGTTTAACACCACCAGGATCCCAATTGCCTGTGTCAATCAACAATGGTTATAGAAACTCCTCTGAATACCAATCACACCTTCATATAGCATGTCGTTCACAAATAGATATGCGAAATATCGACAATGGATGGGATACTATGGATCGATTTGTCAACAAAGACAGTAATAGTAATCTCACTAATAGACATCAGCATCAAGCACCAAATTTCAACCTGACAAACAACTCCAAAGAATCATACTTTTTGAATGTTAATGATGAAAAAGATGATAATGTAATTACTGGGAAAGATAACAATGATAGAAGTAAGATGAGAATATCGGCAAATCGGATAAAATCGTTATCGGATGAAGAATTCAGCGACAGATCATTACCTCGATCATCATCGTCAATTATAACAACAACAAAAACAGATAGTAGACCAAAAATGAAAACTTTACAAGGTGAAGATTACCTCTTCAAAAGTACACGCGGCGATAAAACAAATATCATTGACCCACTGTTGTTGAAGCCATCCTTAGGACCAGTAATCGACAGCAGTGAAGAAAATACAAGTGATCCGTGTGAAAATGATACTTATCTCTTAGATAGATCAGAACCAGTGAATATTTCAAAGAAAATGATAATGAAATCAGCTAGTAGTCTTTTACAGTCAACATATCAACAAAGAAATAAAAGCTCTACAATGCTAAATACAAACAATGCTGATAAAAACGATATCGATAGTCATGCAGCTAGACGAAGGAGAAGCTTCTTGTTAACCTACTGGCAACAAACTATTCAACAAGATGATGAACAAAGTAATGGAGATACCTGTAACATTTATGAATCATCTGATGATGACGACGACGACAATGAGGAATTTAGTAAAGACAAGAATAAATCAAATAGATATGAATCTACAGGTGGATTAAATGACTACAGAAGTAAGCATCATAACAGTAACGAAATTGACAATGATAATCTTCATAACAGTGTGAAAGACTCCACATTATTACACATTAATAGATCAGTAAACAATACACGCTGCAAATCAAGTGAATCAGGACTGAACTACTTTAACAATAATAGTAGTATAAGGAATAATAACAAAATTTACACTAGACAAGAACCTTTATCAATGTACCATCAACAACAAGATAACCATAACTATCACAATACAAGAAAATCTCGAATTAAATCAAGATACCAATAAGGATTGAATTGTGTTAATCAAGAAAAAGTTTTAGTTCATTTCCTTCGAAATGATTACTTTTTCTGAGTGAATATCTTTTTGACGTAATTTTTATGTACACCAAGATTTCTTGACACATTTACATTTGTTTTACTTAAGACAAGCGATAAAGTCATAAAACTGTGAAATACATTTATTTTCAATTTTGGTGAACTTTTTTTTAACAGTTACACTCGAATCGTTTTACTCTGAGCAAAAATGTAAATGTTTATACATAAATCTCTTATCAATTACATCTAGTGCCTTTTCAAACTGCATTCAGACCGAAAGGGTATCATTGGCCTAGCGGTACGCTGAAATAGATATGCTCCGTTGCCAATGGCAGCATAAGTTTACGAACGGATTCTAAATATACTGCTTCAGTGGGTATCAACTGATATGCAGCTCACCACCTTTTTTTTAAAGATAATTATATTAGCTAAATATTCTGTCAGGTCATCACACAGATAAACCGGTGTAATACCTGCTATACAAGAAAGAATCAGTTCAAGTTACCACACTTAACAGGAAAGAGGAAATAAACTGGAAATCAATGACAAGGCAAACAAGTATTGACAATGAGAAAACGAATGGATTGATAAATGAAGGTATTAAAAATTACGAATATGAGAAAGAATGAACATCACTGCACCACTCTCGTCACTTTTCGAACTATGCAACCTGAAGTCTATGACCCATTGTTTCTTATCGTCTGTTTCTCCAGCCAAGTAGCTTACATATCCCTACATGGCTCAAGCCAATGATCAGAAATTTCATGGACTGGCAACAAGTCTAGATCCAGTCGCAGCTAATTCTCTTCCAAACTAATCGCATTTTCATTGACATAACACGTCAAATTCGATGATGGCTCGACGTGTAAAACGCATGTTCGAGCTATCCCAATCACCACATGTTCTCAATCTAACCAACTGACTTAACTCCCTGAATTGGTGATCAACACGCAAGCCGAGATAGCTTATACTTCATACAATAAGATAGACCAGACTTCTGTGAAGTATACTCATCCTTTACTAGGAAATCGGATGCCTCGTTTGTGCCATGTAAGTAAAATGGTGACTGTATTTGATCACTTCACCGCATTTCCTTAAATTAGCAGTCAATTCAGGCCAGTCCTAAAGTCTGAGTCATCTTACACCTGACAGTTGAGATACACATACTGTCACTTCCCATATTTTCATAATATTCTGCATTTTGTCAGCCATAAAAGTAAACAAAGGCACGATGGACCCAAGGAAGAAGTATCATTAGAAAGCATTCATAGCTACTTTAAGACCCAGTTTTAAGGTAGGATCAGGGTAGTAGCTTTACAGATGTCTCACAAATATCTTATAAGATAATGCATTAGATGACTTACAGTATTCCCTTCACATCATGAGAAAAACAGAGTATACCTTGTTGTGTTACTTTCTATCTATAGAAAATGTTTCCGACATAACTGCTACCTTCAAGCGGTAGTCGGGCTTGCATGTCACAATAATCGAGAGAGCTATGCTAGCCAGAAATAATGTCCCCTGAGGTCTCATCATACCATAAATATCGTGTGGACAGCGATATTACTAAAATCAGTTACCACTAGTGCGTAAATGGCTAAGCTATGATGATGGTCCACAACATATTATCATTGGTTGGATAGGATATAATAGCAGTTATTTCCCACAAACGCCCAGCAATACCATACTGATGTTGCCTCTCCCAAAGGAAGATATTAACAAAAAGTTAGTCCAGAAAACCATACACTTCTCCTCGTCCCACAATCCTATGGTGCCGATCGTATGCGTTATATAACTAGATCCAGCACAATCAAACTTACAGAAGACTATTCATGACCATAACGAAGTTAGTGTTTATTGAGTCCTATAGTAACAAACAACTCTCATTTATCCAATTTGTTTTTTTAAGTCCCACAAGAATTAACTTTCCAGGAAGTGTCACTGTCATCACAACTCTTTCAACACTAAGGTTTTCTCAGATCATTACCAACTTCCTACATCTTTGCCCTCCAATCTCTACTCACAGCTCTCAGTAAATATTCCTACGTTATCAAATTCTTTCAGCCCTGCAACCCTTGATACTGATTTTATTTCACAGAAAAGCATCTCTCCTCATCTTAAACTGTGCTTCAAACTACATTTTGGAGCCTTCAATGTCTGCACCCTCCATCAAATTGGCCAACAGGCTTCGTAAGTCAAAACTCAGGTTACTAAGTCATGGATGTGTGATATGTTTGTGAGACATGCATGTATTATTCGCGCGGTTATTCAGTCAACCTAACCTAGCGAAAACAATGAATCTGCGAAATCCACCCTTCGAGTTACTGAGATTTGAGGGCTACTTCAAGAGGTCTTGCAAGTCTAGGTAAAGCATCAGGCGGTGAGGCAGAAAGTGCACTTTTCGACTGCATTCCAGTTGGCAGTCACATATCCACTGTTCGATTCATCAGTTCACTGGGGACGAAAAGAACACTGGTTAAGCGTGCTGAGAACCTCACTAACATGGTTACTTAGATCAGCCTTGATGGGTCACTAACCAACTAAATCTCTGCGTAATATCATAAAGTCTATTGAGAGGCTAGTGTAATCTGTAGCAGTTCACTCTGCTACACTGTGGCTGAGAAGGCTAAGAGATATAAGAAAACTCAGGGTGTTTGACTGCCATTGCCGTCGTACCATAGAACATATGCCGAAATACTACCACGACAGTAATGCGGTCAGGAGTAGAAATTTACATAACAAGTAAGCGAGTTGATGGGGGTGCAAACTTTCATTGATTCAGCTGACTGGGATGTGTTACGCATGTTTAGTCAATGTCTGCTTCATCGCGCAACACTAGCTGAAATATGCTGGGCTGATAAAAAGTTAGAGGCTGCCGAACTAAAACACAGCATCAGCTCGTGAATTCTCTCTTACGACTGATCGCCGCAGTGTAAAGTAGTGTAGAATTGTAACATGAGGTTCGTGTGATAATAAAAACCGGTGACTGGGAACTGTGGATGATTCGTGTAAGAATCAAACTCAAAGGCCCTAAGGCAACCAGAAATCAAACTAATCGATTACGGCTTATCAAGAGTAAGAGTAATTTTCTCCACACACCTCTATATTTTGCATTTAATTACCCGAAAAAGCAAGTATCTAATAGCAAAATGGCACGGTTGCGCCAGGTCAGAATTCAGTAGAGACGGATTGACTGACTAATCCATACCATAATTTTCGCATATTATTGTGAGGTCATCTTTGAAATCCATCCTAACAACCACCTGCAAATGATGAAAGTCCGACAGACAGAAAGAGACGCAAAAAATTAACGTAGAACTTTGCACAGAAATGCATCGGTTCAAGCTGCCACACTTCACAATAGCACTCAACGAAGAAAATACTGTTATCACGTAGACAAAGGTGCATGAAACGAGACACAATTAGAAGATAAAAGTAATTACAATATTCAAGCTTTCGAAGACATCAGAGTTAATATATCTGCACCATTGTGATCGATTTTCAATCCTGTCACAAAGAGCCGTCCAACATTGATTCCCGTCGTCTCAGGGACCACAGACACCCAGGTGGGCTACACCTTCCTGCACAGCTCAGACCAACAGTCAGAAAGATCATACACTGACGCCATGTCTTGATCCGGTCAACTTGAGCCATCTTCTAGTCCACTCCAGCTTACCCTAGCATTGGGCATCGAGGTGAACAGTGGCTTGGCATGTGCCATGCACATTCCAGTTATCTCAGTCGATGAGGGTTCACAACCTCACGAACTGAACTGTCTGTCCGTGACCTCTACACTGCCCACACGGTGATTCCACCAAATGCAAGAAATGCTACGAAGACAGGTTTGGTGAAAGACCTGCAGTCTCTTCATATCCTCTATTTTTGATGGCCACGTCTCACAGTCGTATAACAGGACATAAAGGAATGTAGCGCAGTATACTCACCCTTTGGTACACAATCGGATATCTCGCCGGTGCCACGGGTGACGCAAGTTGCCAAACGACAAACAGGCCTTCTGTATCCGAGCTGAGATTTCGTCAGTAACCAGCTCGTTTGCGTTGATGCAACTTCCCAAGTAAGTGAAATGGTCACATATTCCCCCACTTCACTCTTATGATTAAGCTGGGAATAGTTGCGGACCAATCTTGTAGCATCATCTTGCAGTTGGCCGACGTGAAACGTATGCCAAACAGTACTCAGGTTCCTACTCAAGGCGTTCAGAAGACCCTGGATATTGTTGGCATCTTCACGGGATAATATCGTCTGTATACTTTAGGTCAACCAGATGTCCTCCAGGGAGTAGGTCAGTTGTTGTGAAGTCAGAGCTACCTAAAGGTGCGTCCGTTAGCGCATCTTTAACGAAACAGAACAGGAATGATGACAAGAGACATCCCTGACGAACACCACTAGTTGTAGCACAGCTGCTTGAGACTGATTAGAGAGGCTTGATTAGCTCTGTGAACTTGTTCAGTATTTCCTAACTGCCAAACACCGCCATAGCTCCTCACATTTAACGGAGTCAAATGTCACCTTCAGATCAAGAAGTTTGGCAGGTGTTGGCGGCCGGTATGTCTCCTGAATGAGTGATTCTAATCTGCACCGATAACTGCCTGGCCAGTTGCTTGCTGAAAAAGATGCTTGGTACAGTCTGTATTTTCCGACCAGAAGGTGGCACTCGACTCTTTCGACCAAGAGTTCTTATGGCACTGTCTCTAACTAAAAGTAGCATAGGAAAAGTACTTCATCCTATGGGCGTTTTAAAGCCTACGGTTAGCTGTCAGGTGCGTTGCTTACGTCGGTGTGTGTCAAGGAAGTCCACTTTCTCAATTCTTATTCGATTTCATCATACACGTTTTTTCTTCTCGTCGTCTGACTTTGCAGGGACTGAAAGTTCCTAATAGATCAAGCGTATATAGTGACAAGTTTCTGTTAGGTAAAAATGCTGATAAGATGCAGAGTCTTTTAGTCACA